TTATATATAACAGCGGAATGCATTACAATTCTTATTATATAGAGATAGCTCAATTTTTCATATTTCTGGTTGTATACATAGTATACTCACACCAATTTGTGTCTATACCTGTACTTTGGATAATAATGATCATCACATTCAACCATCATTAATTACTCCTTGTCCCCTCCCTTTCCCTCCCACCCCTCTGCCCTATCTAGAGTTCATCTATTCCTCCCATGCTCTCTCTCCCTATTGGCACTTTGTTTTCTATACAAATAGACCGACTATATATTTGGAAAAGAACTGGAGAAATGTGATCTCCTACTATAGAAAGACATTAGGAAACAACTGGATATATTGTTTTGCATTAGAGAAACTAGCATATAATTTAGCTTTAAAACTTTTACATCATGTTTCTAGGAGAAGATGCTATTTTGGAAATTTAAAAATGTCTTTGGGAGCTCAGTCAGACTTCTGGTGAAGATAGTGTTATAAGTTCACTGAAATCATGTTCATGTTATTGTTTTAATTAAAAGTAGCCTTAGTACTGGGACCAGTGCTTCTCCTACAGCCTTCTCAAGAATGCTTTCTTTTATATGCCACATAACTGGGTCTAGAAGTAGGATAGGTATCTTATTCCACAGCACTGATTCTAAACCATTACAATCTCCTATTCTTTAAAACATTTCATTTCCTTAGAAACATTTCTTATCAGAGTAGTTTTCTCTTTGCAGTCATTTCCCCCTACTTGTAGAAGAAGTAAACAAAGATATTAGTCTTTTTCTTCTTGACTGGCTTCTTTTTTAAAGACTTTAAAAAATGTCTGAAAGATAAGAACTATTCTCATTTAAATATAACTGTAGTGACCCTGTACATTTTCCCAATGGTTTCCTAATATCCTTCCATAATAGCAGAATAGCAGATCAGTTATTTTTGAAATATATTTTTATAGTTGTTCTATTTACATCAGAAACAGTCCCACATTGCATTTAGTTAATATGTCTCTGAGGTCATTTTTAAGTCTGAAACATTTCCTCCTTCATATGTATAAATATATAAATATTAATATGAAATTTATAATTTATTAAACCAGGTCATTTGTTCTTTTGATCGTATTGTATTCTACATTTACCTGATTGTATCTTAATGATATATTTATATATAACATGTTCATTTAGTTCTCTGTATTTCCTATAGACTGGTTGTTAGATTTAGTGCCTTGATAAGATTTTAGAGTCTTAAGAAATTTAAAGAATAGTTTGTATATTATACTGTTCATTTCCTATTACATCACATCAGCGGGCACATATGTTTGCTTGTCTTTATTCTAGTAATGTTTTGATTGGTGTGTTCAGGTATTATAAGCCTGATTCATCTGTCATATAGTTTCCTATTAGGCATCTTACCTTAATGTTTTTAGCAGCCATTGATGACAGTTGCCTAGATTAATCTAATAATTTCTTTTGCGTTTATCATCTAGAATTCTTATACCTCATCAACTATTTGATTTCTATGAAGTGAGAAAAGCTGAATTATTTTCCTTTATTCACCAGCTTTCCAATGATGGGTTGTTTTCCTAGCATGCCAAATTAGTTTCTTTTCCTTTTTTCTTTCTTCCCTTTCTTCTTCATCCTCCTCTTCTTCTTCTTCTTCTTCTTTTTTTTTTTTTTTTCTACTGTAACCCAGAGGCACTCTACCACTGAGTTACACCTCTAGCCCTTTTTATTTTATTTTACTTTTTTAGTTGTGTAACAATAATTTATTTTCCCCCTTTTAATTGGTGCATTATAATTATGCATAATAGTAGGATTTGTTATAATATATTCATACATGATCAAAATAAAAAGTATAATTTGATCAATTTCATTCTCTAGTACTTCCCCTTTTCTTTGCCTCCCTCCTACTGATCCCCTCTTCTATTCTACTGTTCTTCTGTTTTTCTTTTTCCTTTAATTTGTTCTAATTAGTTCTATATGACAGTAGAATGTATTTTGACACATTGTACACATAATGGAGTACAACTTCTCATTCCTCTGGCTGTACATGGTGCAGAGTCATACCAGCAATGTAATCATACATGTAATGTATATAGGGTAATAATGCCTGTCTCATTCTATCATTCTTCCCATCCCCGTAGTCCCACCCTTCCTCTCACTCCCCTCTGCACAATATAGATACTCCATGCCTAATAGAGAAAAAAGTAGGCCCAAATCTTCATCATGTCGGATTAGGCTCGACTTCCTTAGCAAGACTCCTTAAACACAAGAAATAAAATCAAGAATTAATAGATGAGATGGACTGAAACTGAAAAACTTCTCAGCAAAAGAAATAATCAATGAGGTGAAGTGAGAGCCTCCATTTTGGGACCAAATTTTTGCCACATATTCATCATATAGAGTACTAATCTCCAGGATATATAAAGAACTCAAAAAACTTAACACCAAAAAAACAAACAACCCAATCAATAAATGGGCTAAGGAGCTAAACTGACACTTCTCAGGGGCAATAGTATTTCCTCTGCTTGAATCCCGAGTTAGGGAGTAAGAAGGAATGCAGCCCCTATCCAGTCTGTTATCTTGGATCTGACCCCCTTTTTATTTTTTATTTTGAGACAGAGTCTCACTAAATTGCCTAAACAGGCTTGGAACTTTTGATGTTCTTTCAGGAGCCACCTGAGTTTCTGAGATTGCCGGCATGCACTGTGTCTGGTTCCAGTGAATTTATTTTGCGTTTTTATCTTTGTAACTTGGAGATGTCAACATTTTTGGTGTATTTCAGCCATTGCAGTTGTAATTCTTTTTAATGATCAAATTGTTCTATCTTTGGCCAATTGGCTCCTATGTTCTTTTGACATTATTTCAGTAGTTTCCTTGCTTTCTTATGTGACAGTATATTCTAGGCTTATTCTGTGCATTTCCTATCAGACTTGAAATCAGCCATTTTTCCAGGAAGCACTATCTTCTGTTAGAGGGAAATGTTACCTTTTTTAAAAAATACTTATTTTTTAGATTTAGTTGGACACAATATCTTTATTTTTTTTTTATGTGGTGCTGAGAATCCAACCCAGTGCCTCATGCATGCCAGGTGGGCGCGCTACTACTTGAGTCATATCCCCAGCCCCATTGTTACCTTTTTTTAAAAAGAAGTACAATTTACTGAAGAGGGAACCCCATAGCAGGTTTTTCCCTAGGGAAATGTTTTTATAGACCATAGTTGGGTGCTGTGTGGGCTCATTTGTACTGATTTGATCAAACTTTTAGACAAAATGTTTTTGTTTCTGATAGATAAAAATATATCATGAATATGTACTAAGGTTCGTAATTTGTGTTTAAAGAAGTTTTACTCTTCGTTTGTTCTTGGCAATTGTTTTCTCTTACAAGAAAATTTTTGTTCCTAAACACATTAATGGTGCCATGTATGTTTTAAAATATAGTTTTGAAATAAAAAATGTAGATTTATTCTAATAATTTGTTATTGAATACTATTTAGTATTTCTTGTTTTTTTTTCAAATACAGGCAAATCCATGTAACTTCATGTTCTTCCCTTAGATAAAACATATCATACTATATATATTATTCTGCACCTTACATTTTTACTCTGTGTCCCATAGATCACTCCGTATAACTGCCTCATTGCATCGTACTGCTATATATTATTTGTGAATGTGCTGTAGTTTATTCAACCTGTTGATAAACATTTGGGCATTTGCAGCCATTTGATATTGCAAATAGAGCTATAGTAAATAGCCTATATGTATGTTATTTCATAGTTTTGTTTATCTTTGTGATAGGATTCTAGAGTATAAGCTTTATTTTGCTTTCTCTTGTCATGGTGATGGTATATTGATAGGGATGGGAGTTGGGGAACAGATCATTAAAAAATGAAATATACTTGTCTTAGTCTGCTCAGGCTGCTATAATAAAACCACATTAGGGGTAGCTTATAAACAACAACAAAAACATTTTTCACAGTTCTAGAGGCTGGAAAGTCCAAGATCATGGTGCAAATTTGATGTCTAAAGAGGGCCCACTTTCTGACTTATAAATAGTGCCTTCTTGTCCTCACTTGGGAGTGGCAAGGTAGTTCTGTGGACCTCTTTTAGAAGGGCATGAAGTAATTTGAAGAAGTACTTATAGGAAGTTTTACTTTATCCTCTTATCTTTCTTTTCATATCATTTCATTGCTTATTAATACCTGATACATTATTTTTAGAAAAAAATAACATTTTGAGGAGAATTGTAGGTACAATTACATTATTTTTCTCTTTCTTTTTTTAAACCTCTTATTATACTGTCTTACCCATTCTGATATTGACCAGATAACTTGGTAAGTTTAACTCACTCAACATTTTTATTGATTTGTTGTGGTTGGTCCATTACCTTCAAGATTTTAGGCAATATTACCAAATGTTAAAATCCTTACAAACTAGAATGTTATAAACCTTATAACAGTCTTAATTATAATAAGCAAATCTTCTTGTTAATTGGTCCTTAGCCTTCTTATATATTATCTCTGTGTTTTCGCATCCCCCACTCTGCCACTTGGTTTCTTTACTAATAACTCCTACTCCACTTTTGATTTTTAAAGCAATTTTATCTCCTGTTGTAAAACCTAATTTAAAAGTAAAATCTAATCTAAAAAGAGATATTCTCATTGTTTTTGGCAGAAATCATGTAGTCTTTTTCCAACTTATCTGTGCCATCTTCATTTAACTATATCTCAGTGTTGGAACATTTTTCACTTTTATCACTCCATTGCTATAGCATTCAGTGAGGCTTGCAGGTTAAAATTTTTTTTCTTTTCTGTTTACTTTTAAGAGATTATCTATATTTGTACTTTGTTGGTTTTTATACCCACGTGTTTAATATCTTATTCCTAGTTGAAATCTTCTTTTTATGAGATTAGGTAATCAAGAGTGCATTGAATTTTTTGTGTGTTTCAAAATCTTGCTAACATTCAATTGAAATTTTGATGTGTTGTAATGTTGCTTGTTGGTATTTCATTTTTTTTTGTTTAGGTTCGAAATGTTCTTAATGATGCAGTGGATTTGCTGGAATTCCGCGATAGAGTCATTAAAGCATCTTTGAACTATGCACACTTAGTTGTTTCAACGTCTCTTCAATGTTATGTGTTCTCGTAAGCATCTTGCATTTCTTAAAAATTCAGTTATGTCGTGATGATGAATTTTTTTTTAGTTTTTTTTTGTAGGTGGATACAATATCTTTATTTATTTTTTTAAAATTTTTATGTGGTGCTGAGAATTGAACCCAGTGCCTCACGCATGCTAGGCAAGTGCGCTACCACTTGAGCCACATCCCAGCCCCTATGATGATAAATTTATTTTCAAGTTTTCAAATCATTATTGTTTGGCTTAAACTTAATTTTTCTCAAAACCTCACCTGTCCTGAGCTTAGCTCAAACCAGGAAGTGAGAAAAAGTGAGCAATGAATGAACAGTGAAAATATATCTAATAAAGTGTGTACATCAAATGTTAATGATCACTTTTATAATAGGAAATACCTTCTCTGAGATAGTGTTCACTCTTAGTTTCAAGGAATTTATTGTATATATGTTTTTCAAAATTTAGAGCTTAGAAGCAGCTGATAAATGATGGGAAAAGGAACCATCTGTTTACTATAAGAGGGGACAGCTAGCATCCTGATAACAGACTTATTTAGAATGGATATAATATCATAGCCCAGGGTAATCATGGATGTTTGTATTGATGGCCCAGAATTCCAAAAATGATGTATTAAAGGAAATTTATTTAGTATATTCTGTATTGGAAGGCAGGGAATGATTCAATAAACATTTCCAGGAAACTTGCATGAAAAACTTAAAAGGACATACTGTTAAATATACAACTGGCTTTCTGGAAATAAACAAACCTGATTTGCAGTTTTGATGATTTCCATGATGTAAAAATATTTCTACCAGGACCAATTTTAAGCTGTAATGTGATTTCATGCAAAGTTGAAAGGAGATGAAGAATAGCAAACCATTATATATGTAGTATTGCTGCCATACAGATAAAACAAAATTTCAGGTACAAAGATAATAATAAAAGATCATAAAATAACCTGGAAGTGATATTTTGAATATCTATTACCTTTGTTTTTAATATAATTTACTTGATAGTAAGTCTATAAAATTTCATTTTACATCCTAGTTTTATTTAATTTTTTTTCTGATTTAAAAAATTCTTGAAAATTTAACAACTGGTCCAATCTGACTATACCTCCAACTGAGTCCTCAACTATCCAGAAAACTTGTGTAATCACTATGATACTTTCAAGGCTTGCGAATACTTAAGAATTTAAGAAAACATTTTTAAAAACCTTGTGCTTGTATTTATAATAGAGATCTTTTTAGTTTGAGTTTCTTTGTTGTTTGAAGAAAACATGGTGTGATTATAGTTTAATTATTGACTATAAAATTGAGGATAGAGAATATATGTCTTACTCATCAGAACCCAGCATGTTTGAATGAATTGAAACATGTATAATATTTTCTTAGAATCCTAAAGCCCACTAATACACAAAACAAAGGTATTAATTTAATTGACAACTGCTGTATTTTTTAGAAATCCTTACTTACTCTGTGTAAATCTGCTGCTAATCAGAATCTGTAACTCAGGAAAACAGCCAAGTCTGGAATAATGAAATAGGAGAAACAGGAGAGTGAATAAAGAAATAATCAGATCACTTTTATATGAATTTTTCTTCTTAAATGATAGGAAGAACAATAATAATTCGGGAAAATTAAAAAAAATACAAAATTAAAACTTGAAATATGGGAAAAGGATTAGAGAACATGGGAAAATCTTATAATCACTTAATACGGTTATTTAAATAATTTTTATTGGGTTGAGAAAAATAGAGATCTTTTTAGTTTGAGTTTCTTTGTTGTTTGAAGAAAACTAGGGCTCTCCATTGCCCTAAAAAAGGTATTTATTCTACTAGTTACAACAGGTAGAGCATAAAATTTGAATCTGTAGGATTCCTTTCATTAGGTCTTACTCACATTAAAGAGTTTGCTTTCAAAAATACCAACATTTGGGCTGGAGATATGATAGAGTAATAGAGCACTTGCATAGTCGGTGCAAGGGCCTGGGTTGGATACCTAGCATCATTTTCTTACCTTCCCCAAAGCAAAGTAAAATACAGCTCCTATTTATTTATTCTTTGTCATTTCAATTTTCTTATATTACCTAATATGTGGCAAAACATATTAGGTATTATGTTTAATCTTGTCTCCTGTTTGGTTGTCAACATACTTATTGTTATAAAATATTTATTAAAATGAAATACCAGGAAACAATAGTAGAAATGAAGAGGTCTCTGGACCTATCATCACCAAAAACTTTCATTAAATTAAAAAAACCTACTCATATTTTAGGTAATAATAGGTATCATTTATTGAGAAATTTTTATCTTTTATGTTTAACGTTAGTATTATTCTCATTTTATGAGAGCTAAAGGACTCAGTGATTAAGTAGCTTATTCCTAGTATTCTTTAATTCATGTATTGTAGTTCCTGCAGTAGGTATTTGTTAAGTGTCTGTTGTGTGTTAGTTGTAGGGGACAGAGAGTCTCCTTTCTAGTTGGGGGTACAGTCTAGTTGCAGGTACAGAACGAATAATTTCAGAGCAATATTCTACATACCTTAATAGAAGTACAAATAAAGTTACTGTGAAACTAAAATCACTATTTAAAATGAGTACCTGTATGCTTAAAAGAGTATTTTAAATGTTAATAATGTTCTTTTTATCTGTCTTTTAGTACAAAGAACTGGAATACACCACTTATATTTGATCTTAAAGAAGGAACTGTTAGTTTAATTCTACAGGCAGAAAGGTAATTTGTTTATTATGTTTACCTATTGGATTTAGAGTTAAAATATTTCACGTAGGGGCAAAGCAGTCTTTAAAGCATCCTACTTACATAACAATATACTACTTATTTGGAATAGATTTATTTATATTATAGGTTTAAAAATTAGAAGCAATAAATATGCTTTTTAATAAGAAGTCCTGAAACTTTTTAGTCTCAACATTTTTTTTTACATTTTTTAAAAAATAATTGAGGGTTATATGTAGGTTATATTTCAGCATTTTCTGTATTAAAAATTAAAACTGAACAAGAAGGACAGAGGAAGGATGGGAAAGGGGAAAACATGGATTGAATTTAACAAGATCATGTAATATGAACATATAAATGTACAAAGGGAATTTCACCTTTGTGTATATATAGAAAGTACCAATCAAAAGTAAATAAATAAAGGAACAAAAGAAAGATTAGTAGAATAGAGGAAGGGGGAACAAGGGGAGGGTGAAGGGGAAGAAAAGTTGAAGGAATGGGGATTAAAATCAAATTCCTTGGATATATGAGTTTTGTCAAAATGAACCTGACTACTGTGTGTAACTATAATGCTTTAATAAAAAAAGGAAAAATAATTAAAACTGACAAGTTTTAAAAGTATCGATTTATTTTAAATGTTGAGTTCGTTATAACTGAACATTGGAGTAATGATATGAGAGAATGGGAGTGAATCAGGCAAATAATTATGAAATAGTTTGAACCTCATGGTTTCTCTATTCTCTCTCTCTCTCTCTCTCTCTCTCTCTCTCTCTCTCTGGTACTGGTGATTGAACTCAGGGGCACTTGACAACTGAGCTACATCCCCAGTCCTATTTTGTATTTTATTTAGAGACAGGGTCTCACTGAGTTGCTTAGTGCCTTGCCATTGCTGAGGCTGGCTTTGAACTCAACAATCCTCCAGTCTTAGCCTCTTGAGATGCTGGGATTACAGGCGTGTGCCACCATGCCTGCTTCCTTTCTCTTTTCTTTCTTTGTTTTTCTTTTCCTTTCTTTCTTCTCCATCTTTTTCCTTCTTCCTCTCTTTTATTCTTTTCTCATTTTTAAAAAAGATGAACACAATATCTTTATCTTATTTGTTTTTATGTGGTACTAAGGATCAATCCCAGTAACTCGTGTGTGAGGCAAGGGCTCTACCACTAAGCTATAACCCCAGCCCCTATTCTTTTCTCTTTTACTCTTTCTCTTCCTTCTTCCTTTCCTTCCCTTCCCTTCCCTTTCCTTTTTCTCTCTCTGTCTTTCCCTCCCTTCCCCTCTGCTGAAGATTGAACCCAGGGATTTGCTCATGTACACTCTGAAGTACATCCCAGGCATAACTTTGTTTTAAAATATTGGTTGAAATTCATTGATTTCATAACCCACTTCTGGGCTGTGACCTGAAGTTTGAAAAATAATATTCTCTACAAAGACATTGAACTGTGTAAAAGACTAAGGAACTTGAGACCAGTTAACTAGAGTAAATTAGGAATAGATATTACTCCAGGAACCTTCAGTTTTCTGTGAAAACTATCAGTCTGTCATGTACAGTGATATCCTACTAAAACAAAAATTAGACTTAGGAAAGCTACTCAATAAAACCTGGAATAAAATATGGAAATATAATTGATATTTACCTAAAATACTTTTACAGTGAAACAATGCACTTTATTCCTTATCCCTTTATTCATCACCTAGGCAAGCTCTTAATAGTGTTTCTTATCAGGTTTTCTAGCCCACAGCTTTTTATAAATAGAAAACTAGAAGAAAGTGCTGATGAGCTGTTACAGGCTGGCACAATGACAGGAAGAAAAGTGACTGCCTGGCAAGGGAATATAGAGAAAACTAAAATTACAGAACTGTGCAGCTGAGAGTATAATTATTCTGAGCAACAACAGATTCTCATGAGTATCAAAGCTATCATTTTGTTACTGAAGAATATAGTCATCATACTGATTATATTGAGTGATCAAGAAAATGTTATGTTAAATTTTACATCTGTTTAATGAAATTGAAATGTATGATTCATTTATTAATTATAAATTTTTAAAACAAGTCATTTTTGCCATTTAAAAGTTAAGATGTCAGTGTCTAAAAACAATATTTCTGAAATGATTTTTACTTCAGGAGTTTCAAATAAGTTTATTCATTACACATTGTTTATAAGTATATTTATTGGATGTTTTCTTTGTAAAAGCATATATTAATGGCATAAATAATTAAGTAAAGAATATTTTAGTTACCTCCTACCACTGGTCTTATTTATGCCGTTAGAGATGTTAGCCCATAGAAACAGGGTATTTACTTAAAAGTTAAAAGCTAGTGTTCTATTTAGAAAAGAAAAATTTTTAGTGATAACACAAAGAATATATACTAATATAATGTGTCACTTTGTCAAGATCAACAAACATTGTTTTCATACACTAATGGGTATGGCCATATACTGATATGCAAAGAAAAATGCTTCAATTAAATATTACCTGTCATTCCTTAGGTATTAATTTAGTTGAAGTGTGTACATAATAATTAGTAATTCCTGAATAATTAGAATAATTAGTAATTCCTGAATCAATAAATAGTTCTGAATCAAGGATATTGAGACCCTGAACATTTGTTTTACAATAATGTTGTCAACACAAAGTAAAAGCCTCACCAATTTAGTTGTATGTGTACAAATTAATATTACCTTTCAAAAGGAAGTTTAACAGTTACATTTTAATTTTGAAACAATTTATATATATTTTTAGTTGTTGGTAGACTTATATTTTATTCATTTATTTATCTACGGTGCTGAGAGTCAAACCCAGTGCCTCATATATGCGGGGCAAGTGCTCTGCCACAGAGCCACAATCCCGGCCCACATATTAAATTTTTAAAAGTATATATGCTTTGATCCAGTAATTATGCTTCTAGAAGCTATATACGAATTAAGTAGAATAGATATACAGAGATGTATGCACACTATAGACACTCACTAAAACAGTTAATTTAATTTGAAATTAATATCCATCACAAAAAGTGAGTTAAGAAGTAATTATGAAAATGTATTCATATTTTTTTTGCTATAGTTATCTCTGTAAAGGTAGAGTCACAAGAAGTCTTTTGTTTTCTCTTTATATTGTTTTAATTATTTCTTACAATGTTTATCCTTTTTCAAAGGAAAAATGTAGTAGCCATAAAATAGTTATATAAGTCAATAAAATATTGTACAGAGCCCTATGCCTTAATATTAACTGTCAACATAGGAAATAAATCTGAAACCCTGTTGTAAAAAATGTGTAGGGTTTATATGTGAATATATACTGATGATTGGCATATGATTTTAAAGTCAGAGAAACATCTTTACTTTGTATTGTTGTTATTATTTAGATTTTATTATTTGGATTTTATTATTTAGATTTAGATTTTTGCAAAGATATATATTATACTGGGAATTGAACTCAGGGGCTCTTAACCACTGAACTGTATCCCCAGCCCCCAGTGTTTTTACTTTTGAGACAGATTCTCACTAAGTTGCTTAGGGCCTTGCTAAGTTGCTAAGACAGACTTTAAATTTGTAATCCTCCTGCCTCAGCTTCCTGAGCTGCTGGGATTACATGTCTGGGCTAGGATAAATTATTCTTTAATATAAAATGAAAATATCGTATCTTCCTCTCTAAGAACATATTTTTATTCTTTATTTTTTAGACATTTTCTTCTTGTAGATGGTGGTGGTATCTATGTATATTCCTATGAAGGGCGCTTCATTTCTTCTCCAAAATTTCCTGGAATGAGAACAGATATTCTTAATGCACAGACTGTGTCTCTGAGTAATGATACTATAGCAATAAAAGACAAAGCTGATGAAAAAAGTAAGTACATCTTATAATTTTCCACAGCCAGTTTCCATGAAATTTGTTAATGCTATAAAATTTTCATAAATTAACTTGCATTTTCTTATCTATTAATATGTTAACTTTATATGACAGTCATAAACTTCATGATTTGTTCTAAATTTGAATTACATAAGAACTAAAGTTGTTATACCCAATTGATAGAACACATACATATTATTATAACAACCAAGATTGGTGGTAAGACATAAATCTTTATTCAGTAGCTGTTGGTAGAATTTTAATTAAAGATTGTGATCTTAAAATGTGTATTATTTTTTTAATATTCCTGTTTTCTTCATTTGGTAACAGAGTGAATATTGTACTTCATTATACTATTTATTTTGTTTACATGTTTTTAAAATTAAGTTAATGAAGTCAGGCACAGTGGCCCACAACTGTGATCACAGTTGGGAGGCTGAGATAGGAGGATAACAAGTTCAAGGGCAGCCTCACCATTTAGCAAGACCCTGTCTCCAAAAAAAAAAAAAAAAAAAAAAAGAGTGGGGAGAAGGGGACTTTTACCATATCACTCAATGGTTAATCACCCCTGGGTTTAATTCCTGGCACGAAAAAATTAAAATGTAAGTTAATAAAGTGGAAGAAAGGTATGAATAAAATTTCTATTAAAACCTAGGCCAGTTTAGTATTAATAAATAACTTTGTAAAGTGATTTGGAATTTCATAGTACAATGAAACCATTTTATTAAGGTATCACTGTATTAAAGATTCAATTATCTGGCAGATATTACAGAATTCTTACTGTGGGCCAAATTTTTTTTTTGAAGATATAAAAAGGAACAGATAGTTTGTTATGTTTGTTTATTTTCTATACTATCTATCTACACATGCTGTGAAGCAAACTAATGTAAAGTGAGGGATTGGGGCATTCTGGAAATGAGGAAGGGGAATAACTATAGGAAGGATTCTGAGATGAGAATGCTTGGCACGTTAAAAGGAATTGCCAGAAGGCCATGTAATTGGGTGACCATGAAAGAGTAGCAAGAGATGAGGACAAAGAGAGAGGCAAGAACCAGATCACAGAGACTGGACTATGGTAAGGATATAAGCATACAGGAAACTGGGGAGGTAAGCCTTTTTATCTTATAGGCTTTTACCCTAGTAAGATGGAAGACAAAAAACAGGGAGGAAGTTTTGAAGGGGTTTGTAAATCAATAGTTCTGTTTTTGTCATGATATATTTAAATGCTTCATAGACATCAAGCAGAGATGGAAGTAAACCAATAAATACAGAAAAAGCACTTGACAAAATAGAGAAACCTTTAATGTTCAAAATACTAGAAAAACTAGGGGTTGTAGGAACATACTTCAACATTGTAAAAGCTATCTATGCTAAATCCAAGGCCAACATCATTCTAATGGAAAAAAAATTGAAAATATTCCCTCTAAAAACTGGAACAAGACAAGAATGCCCTCTTTTACCACTTTTATTCAACACAGTCCTGGAAACTCTAGCCAGAGTAATCAGACAGATGAAAGAAATTACATTGGATCACCATAAGGGAATTTCATCAATTCATCCAACCTCAATGTTTTGATCCTAGTAACGTTTGCTTTATTCAATTCATTTCTTAGTAACTGTTTAGAGATATACTCCCTCCACCCCCATCTGCCCAGTTGGAAGGAGTCCCTTTATCTATCCCCATTCTCTTGGGAACCATTCTAGTCTTTTTTTTTTTTTTTTTTACCATTTAAGATGGATTTTATAACTTCTCTTTTACAGAAAGTTATTTCCTATAAAACACCATGCAGGCATAGCACATTTTTGCTTTTCTTTGAAAAATTTCTCTGCCTTCTTAGACTTAATTCTCATGCATCTTTTTGCAAAAGATTCCCTCTCCCCAACCTCCTAATACAACCAGGATGCAGTGTTCCTTATAAAGTTAGTTACTTTTTCTTTTTTAAAATTTATATATGATCTAGTCTTTTTTAATAATTTGTTTCAGCATAACTTTTTCCTTTGAAAATAGCTCTAACGGCTGTACCTGGAACTGACTAGAATCGGGATCTTCCCTAACATATTCCTTAGTAACGTTCCTGAAAGAAGAGCCTTTGATTTAGACTGATCAGAATTTATATTTGGCCCATTCTTTACTTTGACTTTAGCTTTTACAGTTAATAAAAACCAAGGAAGTGCATATATTTTTTTTCCTTATTATATTTGCATTTTCTTATGCATTTAGTGAGCCAGTTCCCTGGAAATTGTATGTATCATCTCTTTTTTTTTTTAATAATGCAAAAGTTTATTTTTTTTTCAAATGAATAATAAAATAGTTCACATGAAAGCTTTTGAAAATTCTTCCAGATGATAAGTATCTCATTATATCAGTAGAGATGAAAATTAGACTGCTCAACCAGGTGAAGCAAATTTTTTTTTAGAATAATTTTTTTTATTGGTTGTTCACAACATTACAAAGCTCTTGGCATATCATATTTCATACATTAGATTGAAGTGGGTTATGAACTCCCAATTTTTACCCCAAATGCAGATTGCAGAATCACATCGGTTACACATCCACATTTTTACATAATGCCCTATTAGTAACTGTTGTATTGTGCTACCTTTCCTATCCCCTACTATCCCCCCTCCCCTCCCCTCCCATCTTCTCTTTCTACCCCATCTACTGTAATTCATTTCTCTCCTTGTTTATTTTCCCATTCCCCTCAAAACCTCTTATATGTAATTTTGTATAGCAATGAGGGTCTCCCTTCATTTCCATGCAATTTCCCTTTTCTTTCCCTTTCCCTCCCATCTCATGTCTCTGTTTAAAGTTAATCTTTTTTTTCCTGCTCTTCCTCCCTACTCCGTTCATAGTTGCTCTCATTATATCAAAGAAGACATTTGGTATTTGTTTTTTAGCGATTGGCTAGCTTCACTAAGCATAATCTGCTCTAGCGCCATCCATTTCCCTGCAAATTCCGTGATTTTGTCATTTTTTAGCGCTGCGTAATATTCCATAGTGTATAAATGCCACATTTTTTTTTATCCATTCATCTATTGAAGGGCATCTGGGTTGGTTCCACAGTCTAGCTATTGTGAATTGTGCTACTATGAACATTGATGTGGCAGTATCCCTGTAGCATGCTCTTTTAAGGTCTTCAGGGAATAGTCCAAGAAGGGCAATAGCAGGGTCAAATGGTGGTTCCATTCCCAGCTTTCCCAGGAATCTCCAAACTGCTTTCCAAATTGGCCGAACCAATTTGCAGTCCCACCAGCAATGTACAAGTGTACCCTTTTCTCCGCATCCTCGCCAGCACTTCTTGTTGTTTGACTTCATAGTGGCTGCCAATCTTACTGGAGTGAGATGGTATCTTAGGGTGGTTTTGATTTGCATTTCTCTGACTGCTAGTCATCTCTAAATTCCATAAATAAATTTTTACCTCCAATAACTGATTGCAACATAGCTACTATTTCATACCTTAAATGATCCTGCGGCCACTGAAGAATCAGAGCTTCCTCATCTCCTATCCCTTTATCATTTTCCCAAATCAAATGTTTCAGTGCGTCAGGGTCATCCTAGTGAACCCTTATATTTCCTGACCCAAACTATTCTATTTGTATCTAAACTGGTTGTACTATGACTCATTTCTGACACTACCTGGAGTTAGCATAAACCCAAAAGCTTAAGGATGAAGTGTTTAACACAAGACTGCCTTCACTTTAGATATCAGCCACCACTTTGTATAAATTCAGGGATTTTTTTTCTATTTTATTCTATTACCTCCTCAAATTTGATAATTCACTAAAACAACTCAAAGGACTCAAGCTATCTTATGATTATCATTTTATTATAAAGGATACACAAAGCATAAGGCCTGGCAAGGAACATAGAGCTTCTGTGTCCTCAACTCATAGCAATCAGTGTTTTCACCAACGAGGAAGCTTTACTGAACTTTTCTGTCTAGAATTTTTATGGGGTTTTATTACTTGGCATAATTCATTTAATCATTGGCCATATTGATACAGGTCTTGGAAATCAGGAACGGGTTCTTATCCCCAGGTGTTGAAAATTAAACACCTGAGAAACACCTAAGCAAACATAGAAAACAAGTCTTATTTAAGAAAGAGACAGGTACAGAGACAGCAGAGAAGGGGACCCATAGCTGAGAATTTGGGGGAGGGGATGGTCTTGTCTCATTTATAGATCCCAGAATCCCTGTTTTAATCCCAGCTTAAGGAGCAGGAGCACAGGGGTAATCACTTGTGCATTCCCAGAGGTGTTAGCAACCCATTTCCTTTTCTTTGATAGCCAACCCTCATCTTTTTCTAAGATCATTTATTATCTAGCTGACTACTTGTCCTTTGCCCCTATCTCAATATGCTATAATCTTCAGTCTCATTCCTATCTCCAGAGGTCAGAAACATCCTTCAAATCACATGCTTGGTGCTTTTGATTTTCAGCCTCTGTCCTGAGGTTTTCCAGGTACCCACCAAGACTCTGATTAATGTAACAAAGAAAGTCCTGTCACTCAGGAAATTTTAAGGGTTTTTGAAGCTTTCAGCCAGGAACCCAAGATGACAGAAAATTAGCAGCACGTGTTGTCTGGCATCATAGCACCTGACATATGTTTTCTTTGTGAGATGTGATTTTCTATGATGTATGGGTCTAAACCAGAGATAGCAGAATTACAAATTTGAATTTCCATTGTTGAGCCTATAGAAAGGCATTGATGCCTTAGATAAATAACAGTTTTAAATAAATGTATGTTTTAGGAATATTCAGTTCCACTCTTTTCATAAGGAATGTAACCCCATTAATAAAAAGGAATTTGATGCTGTTGTTCTTCTTTGCCAATAGATAGATACTCAGAGTTTCAGAGAGTTAAATAATTTCTTATGAGGATTATGATAATTCTCCCAAAATTTACCAATAAAAATGCTAATATAAAACACCATGTAATGTTATACCTTTTTTTTCAAGTAATCTTCCTTTTTGAGGCATCAACTGGAAAACCTCTAGGTGATGGGAAGCTTCTTTCTCATAAGGTAATGGACATTAGCTATTTCTAATGTAAATAACTACTTTTTGTTTACTTTCAAAAATAGTTTCAAGGAGGAGAACAGAAATTAGTCTTATATTTAAAATCAGTGTGCATTCTACATATTTTGCCTAAAAATGTCACAAAGACTAGGCACAGATAAAATCTGCAATAGGAAGCTATTATGAAAATTAATTGAATAAAAGGATCTGACTTATATGTCTATTTTCCAGGCTTTTTAGTGCTTTTCAACAGCATATTTTATACTGATTAAGCTTTCAGGACCTAGCAATAAATAAAAACTAATTTTTATTTTAAACTTCTTGCAGTTTTTTCATTGATTTATCTTTAACCAGCATTTTCTTTAAGACTATAATTACTCCATAAAGAAGTATAAAAATTTTTTATTGGCTTTTCATTTTTTTAATCTTAAAAAAAAGGAGCTCATTATATTACTGTGTCAAACAAGTGATGTGTTGGGTCTTAAGATGCTTTTAACTCAATTGTTTTATACTTCTAAAAAACTGTTACTCTAAATTGTATTCTTCTTTCTATAAGTGCTGTTTTTAAATTTGAATTGATGTGGTTCAGAAATCAAAAAACATGAAAAAGTTTTCCTATTATACCTGTTACTCATGAATACAGTTACTCCCTATCAAATAAGTAACCACTGTTATTAATCTCATATATACTTTCATAAATTTTTAATGTATGTACAAACAAAACTGATATTTGATCTTTTTCCTCCTCTTAACCAAAAATATAGTGTATAGCTCGGAACCTTTCTATTTTCACACAACACACTATTTCTGGAGATTTTTCCATATCTATACATACTATGCTTTCCCAATCCTTTTTCCTTCTACCATATAATGTACATTTTATGGATATATCAGAATGTATTTAACCTGGGCCCAGAGGGTGGACACTTAAGTCCTCTCTAGTCTTTTGCTTTTATAGTACTACCAAGGTGAGTTACTTTGCATATACATCATCTTGCTCCAGTTCTAGATCTTCTTGCTCCAGTTCTAGTATAACTGGCATTAATTCATGAAATGTTTCTGGCCCGAAAGATATGAGCATTTGTAATTTTAATGAGAGTTGTCAAGTTATCTTCCAAAGAGAGTGAATCAGTCTCACTAGGAATATATGCATTGCCTGTTTCCCTACAACCTCTCCTTTATAAGTCATTTTAAATCAAGATGAAAATTTTTCCTTTTCAGTAGAAATAAGTTTGTAAAAAATAAATTTCCCAAATAATAACAACCTAATCTAGAACTCAAATCTTTGTGTTATTAAATGAATATTAATTAGTACAGGGAAAAGTAGAAGGTTCTAATGAACAAAAGATTACTGTCATCTCCCACTACGAAGAATGACTCAGGATGAATAGAACAGAAATAGAGAGAGTAGAACTAGAAAATGGGGAAGTCCTGCTGAATGAAAAGGTAGACTCCTCCCTTTTGTGCATAGGTATTATTATCATTATTGACCATGTTTAATTTTGATGGGGATTAATGCTTGGGGATTAAACCTAGGGCCTTGCACTTACTAAATGGTAGGTGCTTTATAACTGAGCTACATCCCCAATCCTTTTTATTTTTTATTTTGAGAACTGGGTTTCACTAAATTGGCGAGGGTCTTGCTAAGTTGCTGTGGCTGGCCTTAACTTGCAATTCTCTTATGTCAGTTGCTAGGATTAGAGGTGTGTGCCACTACATCTGGCAAAAATCAATTTCTTTATAAGGTTTCCATTTTGAAAATTTCTAGCTGTATATTTCATGCATGTCTTAATATACATAGAACAAAATTCTTTACTTCCTTAAAATATAAACTGTGGTATTCCAGAAAAGAGCTGCATTTAACAAAAAATGTATTTGAATATGACCTATCAATTTGGATAGACGTATGTTTTGTTTTGTTTTGTTTTGTTTTAAAAGGTGTTAATTACAGTACACGTAGATACAATGACTTGATGGTATGATCATGATTCTTATTGAATTTACAGTTCCTAACAAAATCTTCAGACATAGTAGGCAATAAATAAATCCCTGGACACTCTGGCATGCACCTGTAGTTCCAGCTACTTGAGAAGCTAGTAACACAGGAAGATTGCTTGAGGCCAGGAATTTAAGACCAGCCTGGGCAACATAGTCAGACCATGTTCTGTGATCCCCCAGAAATCCCTTTTGGATTGAATTGAAATGAATCCATTCTAAACCATTTCTAAGTTATAAGAAAGTTTATCTTACTAGCTAATATGGTAGCTTAATGTAGGATGCCAGAAATACTCTTATTTCTGGAAAAGCACTGGTCTTAGAATCAGGAGGCTGAGTTGTTAAGTTTCAGATCTGTTTGGTACCAAATTTTTCTGAGCAAAATTGCTTAACAAATGTGGGTCTGATTTGCAAAATAAGTATTATAATATCACCTATATAAGATTTCCTATTTCACAGGAAATGAATATGAAGAATCTATAAAATCTAAGTCTCTGGAAGAATGAAATATTTCTACATATGTCCAAATTTTATTTTTAACTAATTCTTAAGATATAGGTATTAGCCAGTATACTTAGAATACATTCTTTTTGTGGTAGGAGGGACCAAGGATTGAATTCAGGGTCACTTGACCACTGAGCCACATCCTCAGCCCTATTTTGTATTTTATTTAGAGGAAGGGTCTCATTGAGTTGCTCAGTGCCTCGTTTTTGCCGAGGCTGGCTTTGAACTTGTGATTTCCTGTCTCAGCCTCCTGAGCTGCATGCCACCACCATGCCCAACTTAGAATTCATTTTGGTAAGAGGGGCTTGTTCATTGAACTAAACCTCTCATTTTCCCTACCTTTTTCACCTGATCCTTCATGTTTAATTCAGCAGGTTTCTCAGTGTACAGCATATCTATATAACCTTTATTTTATTATGATTTAAAGGCTATCTTTCCCTTGGATTGTAGGAAAAGAAGCTAAATTTTAGTGTAGCTTTTGAATTATTAATATATTGGCAACTTAAAATTATTTAAAAGGGACATTTTATCATTATAAATGCATGACATTTAATTGATCTTTAAATAAATATTATAATTAAATAATCAAAATGGCCTTGCAACTAAAACTAGTCCTACATTTATATATTTTTTAAAATTTTAGAATGAAATCTTGGAAATTGCTCTGGATCAAAAAGGACTTACCAATGATAGAAAAATTGCATTCATTGATAAAAATAGAGATCTCTATATCACTTCAGTGAAACGATTTGGGAAGGAAGAACAAATTATCAAACTTGGTAAAATTTTAATATGTTTTATATTTTAATTATTGTCCATTTTCTTAGCTCTACTCTATCTGTCATATACCATTTTCCTTGCTTGAATGAATCTTAAAATGTTTTGGTCTCACATTTCTTAGCTATTTCACTCCATTTTAATATCAAGTCTTTAACTACTGCACCTAAATTGGCATTGAAAAAAAGACCTACAAATTAAAAATGTAATGGCTTAAAGTAGAAGATTCAAATATGTTCATTAATTTTTATGTGAATTTTGAATGTTTTATCATCGTACATTCAGAAAGTAGAGACATCATTACCAAAAGTTAAATGGGATCTTGTTAGCTGATTTTAAAGATATATTTTTGATACTTATATATCAAAACTAATAGAACATTAATATTCTTGTTAAATTAAGGAACAATGGTGCATACTTTGGCATGGTGTGATACATGCAATATCCTTTGTGGACTTCAAGATACTCGATTCACAGTGTGGTATTACCCCAATACGGTTTATGTGGACAGAGACATTTTGCCTAAAACTTTGTATGAAAGAGATGCAAGGTAACATTTTACTACATAGAAATCTGTGTTGTGGTAAATGAAACTGTAATAGACTGTCATATATTCACTCTGATTTCAATTCTACACGGTATCTTATTTTAATCAAATAAATTGTTCAGCTAAAACTAGCTTAATGAGGTCTAAGTGATGGAATTAAATTGAATATATAATATGAACTATTTATTTGCCTCTTAATATAATTTTCAAGCTTAGTAGTATTTAATGGTAGCTTAGATAATTTTCTTCAATATGATTTAGTGATTTTAATACAGGCACTGTTAAGATTTTTCAGTGAAGCACAACTTTGTGATAACTACCCAAAACACAGATTATCATAGACTTTAAGAAATTCAGGAATGTATATGTCTTTTAAATTGAATTTTTTTGTTTTAGACTAAAAGTAAAAAAAAAAAAAAAAAAAGATTATAGGAAAACTCTTGGAGAAAATATAAGTGAAAAGGCTTCTATGAAAACCATAACTTGGTTTTCAAATCTGTTCTGAGTCTGTTTGTTTTTGCAGTGCTGGGGATCAAACCCAGGGCCTTAGACAAGCTAAGCAAGTGCTCTACCACTGACTACATGCCTAGAATTTGAGTTCATTTTTAATATTTGAGTCGATGGCCACAGGAAAATCAGAGGGATACCAAAATAAAACTACTTAATTTTTAAATTAATGAAGTTAGTTACTTATTTAAAGTTTAGCTTTTTATTATTAGAAAATAATATATAATCTTGGAATTCAGCTTAATTTTTATTAGTTTACTTCTTTTACTTCTAAAAACAAAAATTTAGTTATTTAATCATTTACATGATTTATCTTAAGATGGAAAAAATATGTGTTAACTTTCTATCACTGTAACAAATATCTGATATAATCAACTTATAAAGAGAAAAGGCTTATTTTGGTTTAGTTTCAGACCATGATTGGTTGGTCCTGATGCTTTTAGACCTGTGGTGAGGTAACACATCATGGTAGGAGCATATGGCGGAGCAGAACCACCCACTTATGTCTCAAAAGTGAAATAGACCTAAAGACCTCCTACTAGGCCCCATCACTTCCTCAGAGCATCACCCTTGGGAGCAAGCCTTTAACCACATGGACCTTTAGGGAACACAAGGTCCAAACTAGCAAAAGATCACTTTAGATGCTTTTAAGAATAGCTTCAAATACATAAGAACTTTTGTTACTTTAGATTGATAGTATATATTTCTTCAAATATGTGCATATAGCAAGTTAGATTCAAATATTTATTTGAATACATATATAACTTTGGAGGGAATATTTTAGAGATTGAAAACTCCCTATGCATATCAGGGGTCTACTTCTCAAATTTATTAATATGAAAATTTTGCTCAGAATGTGACCTTAAATTGCCTTTTGTTATTTTTTTTAACAGTGAATTTAATAAAAATCCTCATATTGTGAGTTTTGTTGGAAATCAGGTAACTATAAGAAGAGCTGATGGCTCCCTGGTACACATCAGCATATCACCATATCCTGCTATTCTCCATGAATATGTAAGCAGTTCAAAATGGGAGGATGCTGTAAGACTTTGTCGCTTTGTTAAGGTACTTTACATTTCAGATACATAGTTATGTATATATTGTGAATGGGTTTACTTTTTTGCATGATGAGTAATGATAAAACTAAGGAGTAAAAAATTTATGAATAGGATCATGTCTTTTGCTTTATAAACGAACATGAGCAATTCAGAGGAATTGCTGTGTGATTTATTCTTTGAAGAAGCTATAATTAGATCAGTAGTTTGTAAATACTAGCATATATAAAAATCTTCTGTGGAACTTTTTATAAAAGTCAGTTTCCTAAATTCTACCCCACAGAGATTTTAATTCATTAGGTCTGGGTTGAGGATTAGGCATATTTTTTAAGTTCTTCTGATGGTTCTTTTGTATAACTAAGGTTAAGAATCTCTGCTTTAGATCAGCATTTCTCAAATTATTTGAATTCAGTATTTTCCAAAAGTGTTTGACCATAGATCTCTTGTATTGAATATCAGTTAACATCCCTCAGAATACACTTTGTAAAATAATAGATGCTTTTCCTTACAATGAATTGGTAGTAGCTGTTTGTCACTATAGTATTGTTTGAGAACATCAAACAATTATGTTCCTCTGCTTCCCTGTAATTTATAATTTCTGGTCCCTCATTAAAGAGATGGGAGGGCTTATACCCTTAAATTATTTCAGATTAAAAACAAAACAAAACAAAATAACAACCTTGGGCTGAGTGTAACTCAGTGGTAGAACAGTTGCCTACCATGTGCCAGACCTTGGATCTAGTCCCCAGTATCACAAAAATAAATAAGCAAATAAATAAATCCTTGATAACTAGAAAAGTATTTAGAAAATTATATTTGAAAATTCTCTGTTATTAATGTATTTTAAACAAAGTAACACGATGAAATCCTCACATTATTTTTTTAGTTTTTTTTCATTGCCATGTTCCATAATTTTATTTTTTAAATTAACTGCTTTAATTATTATTTTACTAGAAGTTTGTTTTAAGACAGTTCAGCCATGTAGTTGAGGTAATTCTTATATTTTACTTTAGGAGCAAACCATGTGGGCTTGCCTAGCTGCTATGGCAGTTGCTAATCGAGACATGACTACTGCAGAAATAGCCTATGCAGCAATTGGTGAGGTAAGTAAATAATGTTTACATATATAATGTGTAATTTTTCATATTTTGTCATATTTCTATTATTTTTCACTTCAAATATTTTTCTTTTGTTTTAGATTGATAAGGTTCAATACATCAATTCAATAAAAGATCTTCCCTCTAAAGAATCAAAAATGGCTCACATACTAATGTTTAGTGGAAACATACAGGAGGCTGAAATAATACTTCTTCAAGCTGGCCTTATTTATCAAGCAATTCAGATCAATATTAATCTCTATAACTGGGAAAGGTAATAAAAATGTTTTTCATTAATTCTAAAACCTGACTGACCTTAATATATTTTTCCATTTAGCACTTAGTAAATTATATTTTTTTATTGTATTCATAGTTTCCTATCACCACACAGTTTATTCATATTTATATTTGTGAATAATTTACAATTAAAGATTTATGTATTCTCTGAATTTGTGATTAGTTAAAAGTTGAGGGTGTGAAGAAGAGAGTCTATGATGTCTCCCAGATTTCTGATATTAATACTAAGAAGATGGTGGCACTGCTAGCAGATTTTGTAGCAAAGATAGTGTGTACACTTTTAGCTAAGTAGAATTTGAAATACTTTTGAAGAAACATCTGATAATAGTTTATTGAATGGACCTGAAACTCATGAGAAACTTTTGAACTGGATTTTTAGATTATAAGTCACCAGGAAATGGACAATAGTTGAAGCAAGAAGAAAGGAGTGGTTAGGAGCAACGTTCCATTAGACTTTGGGACAAATTGCTTTCTGAGACAGAGTAGCATGCTAATCTTCTCTGATGTATTAAATCCTTCCACTCATTCTCTCAGAACGTGTATCCCAGTGAACAAAGATAACTCATATGTCTCCCAATCGTAAGGCCTTATATTTATAACTCTTAGGCTGTCTACAAAAATTCTAATCTCTATCTCTGTTTTTCCCTTGAATAGAAGTAATAAAATGGCAGATGGTTAATTTTGTGATATACTGTAATTGCTTTATTTATGTCCTAATGACCTATACTATTTGTTTAATTCAGACATTCTATTTCTGTCCTTTTTTTGTTAGGGGCGGGGGTTAACTAGGGATTGAGCTCAGGGGAACATGGCCACTAAGCCATATCCCCAGCCTTACTTTGTATTTTATTTGGAGACAGGAACTTGATTTTAGCAACTTGATTTTGCTGAATCTGGCTTTGAACTTGTGATCCTCCTGCCTCAGCCTCTGGAGCTGCTGGAATTATAGACCTCTGCCATGCTCAGCTATGTTCTTTATTCACACAAATTGGTTGTCATTGTTTATAACTGAACAAAGAATCATGAAATATGTTGTTGGTACTGTAAAAATGCAAAGGCCATTGTCCTTGTCTGCAATTTATTCACAATTCATCTATTTAGATGCAGTATCTCTGGTCTAATTCCTAGGTCCTTGATCCACTTTGAGTTGAGTTTTGTACAGGGTGGAGGGAATTAATTAATTAATTAATTAATTTCATTTTGCTGCATATGGATTTCCAGTTTTCCCAGCACCATTTGTTGAAGAGGCTATTTTTTTCTCCAATATATATTTTTGACACTTTTGTCTAGTCTGAGATAACTGTATTTATGTGGGTTAGTCTCTGTGTCCTATATTCTGTACCATTGGTCTGCATGTCTATTTTGGTGCCAATACCATGCTGATTTGTTACTATTGCTCCGTAGTATATAGTTCAAGGTCTGGTATTGTGATGCTGCCTGCTTCACTTTTCTTGCTAAGGATTGTTTTGGCCATTCTGGGTCTCTTATTTTTCCAGATGGATTTTATGATTGCTTTTTCTATTTCTATAAAGAATGTCATTGGGAATTTGATTGGATTTGCATCAAATCTGTATAGTGCTTTTGGTAGTATGGTCATTTTGACAATATTAATTCTGCCTATCCAAGAGATCTTTCTATCTTTTAAGGTCTTGTTTAATTTCTTAAAATAACTGGTTTGAGGAAAGAATATAGCTAAGATTAACCAAAAGAACTTGAAGAATGAAAAAAGAAAGAGATCAGCAGGTATACATCTGTTGAATGTGAACATTCAAGGGTCTGGTTTAAGAAGAGGAATCGGCAAAAGAAATCAGGAAGAAACAAAAAGATGAAATTTTTAAAAAAATTTATGGAAAAATTACAAACACAAAAATAGAATAGTATAGTCTATAGTATAGTAGTATATTAGTATAATAATATCATAGCAATATAATAATATAAGAGTAAAAATAGAGAATAGTATACTAATCTCCATGTACCCATCAATCCTCTTCAACAATCACCAATTTGTAGATAATCTCCCTTCTTCCCCCTTCTTCTCTATTAATTATGATTATGACCTAATCATAATCATCATATAATTTTACCTATAAATATTTTAGTTTATATCTCTAAAAGTTTTTTAATATAGTCCCAGTACCATGATTATATCTTTTTTTAATTACTTTGTAGTTGTAGATGGACAACATGCCTTTATTTTATTTGTTTATTTTTAAGGGGGGCTAAGGATGGAACTCAGTGCTCATGCATGCTAGGCAAGCACTCTGCCACTGGGCTACAGCCCCAGCTCTCATGATCATATCTTAAAAGGTTAACATTATTGTATTCAGTGCTCTTATTTCTCTATTGATCTATAAATATTTTGTTTTATGGTTTGAATCAGGATCCAAAAAAGGATCCACATATTGTGATTAGTTGATGCATTCTTAAGGTTTTTTTTTGTTTGTTTGTTTTTTTAAGCATCAGTTCTTCTATTTCTGTTTATGTTTTCTTGCAATTTCTCCATTGAATGAACTGGCCCTATACAAACCCCATAGTCTGGACATTGTTGATTGCATTTTTATGGTATCATTTAGCATATTCCTCTATATCCTGAATTAGTTTCTAATTGGTTGTTGAATATAGAAACTTGGTAGGTTTAAATTTGATTTTTCTGGGGGAAGGGCTGGCTAAGGATCTACAATAGGTGGTGGTGTATATGTTTCCATGATAACTGTTTTTCTGATGTTAGTAAGCCATTGATGATCACTGTCTAGATCCATTAATTAGGGGTTATAAAGTTGTGCTATTTCTAATTCTGATATTCCAGAAGTATAGAACTTAAGTATTAGATGATGAATATATTAGGTTACTTTTAAGATCCTTGACTTTCTATTATTTGTTTAAATTCTCTAGAAGAGAACAGATTTTATTTATTTATATGTGTTACTCTATATGAGAGGCATAGATGTTTTAAGTTATGCTTTTGTCTTTCCTATTTGGACTTGAAAATTGCCTGCAACCTAACAAGAAGCAGTTCTTTTTTTTTTTTAAACACGACAGTGATTTTGAAATATTATACATACATAGAATATGTATAACATGTTCTAATTAGGATCCCACCATTATTGTGGTTGTACATGATGTGCAGTTGTATGGGTTGTGTATATACGAAGATAGGAAAGATATGTCCAATTCATCCTTTTGTCTTTCCTGTTGCCATCTTTCTTCCCTTCCCTTCATTCCACTTTGTCCAGTCCAATGAACTGCTAATCTTTCTTCCCTTGTTGTCGGTTAGCATCTACATATCAAAGAGAACATTCTGCTTTTGATTTTTTGGGATTGAATTATTTTACATAGCATGATAGCCATTTATTTACTAGCAAATGTTATTTCATTCTTTTTAATGGCTGAGTAATATTACATTGAGTATATATACCATGTTTTCTTTATTCATTCATCTGTTGTAGAGCACTTAAGTTGGTTCCATAATTTAGGTATTGTGAATTGAACTGCTATAAACATTGATGAGGTTGTGTCTCTGTAGTATGCTGATTTAGAATGTATTTTGGATATAAACCAAGGAGTGGGATAGCTGGGTCAAATGGTGGTTCCATTCCAAGTTTTCTGAGGAATCTCCATACTGCTTTCTAGATTCCTTGCACCAATTTGCAGTCCCACCATCGATGTATGAGTGATCCTTTTCCCCGTATTCTTGCCAATATTTATTGTTGCTTGTATTCTCGATAATTGCTATTCTGGCTGGGATGAGATGAAATTTTAGAATAGTTTTGATTTGCATTTTTCTAATTGCTAGAGATGTTGAACATTTTTAAATGTTTGACCATTCATATTTCTTCTGTGAAGTGCCTTTTTAGGAAGGAAGCCCATTATTGGTGTTGAGTTTTTTGAGTTTTTTACATATCCTGAAGATTAATGCTGTATCTGAGGTACATGTGGTAAAGATTTGCTCCAATTCTGTAGGTTCTCTGTTCACCTTATTGATTATTTTCTTTGCTGAGAAGAAGCTTTTTAGTTTGGTTCCATCCCATTTATTGATTCTTGATTTTATTTCTTGCGTTTTAAGAGTTGTTAAGGAAGTCAGTTCCTAAGCCAATATGGTGAAGATTTGGTCCTACTTTTCCCTCTATTTTTTAAAAATATTTATTTTTTAGTTGTAGTTGAACACAATACCTTTATTTTATTTATTTTTATGTGGTGCTGAGGATTGAACCCAGGTCCTCAACATGCTAAGTGAGCGCTCTACCGCTAAGCCACAACCCCAGCCCCATTTACTTTTTCTTCTATTAGGCACAGGGTCTCTGTTCTATTGCCTAAGTTTTTGATCCACTTTGTGTTTAATTTTGTGCAGGGTGAGAGATGGGGGTTTAATTTCATTTTGCTACTTATGGATTTCAAGTTTTCCTAGCAATGTTTGTTGAAGAGACTATCTTCTCCAATGTGTGCTTATGGTACCTTTCTCTAGAATGAGATACTGTGTTTATGTGGTTTTGTCTCTGTGTCATCTATTCTGTTCCACTGGTCTGTGTGTCTATTTTAGTGCCAATACCATGCCATTTTTGTTACTCTGGCTCTGTAGTACAGTTCAAGGTCTGGTATTATGCCTCCTGCTTCACTCGTCTTGCTAAGGATTGCTTTGTCTGTTCTGGGCCTCTTACTTTTCCAAATGAATTTTATGATTGCTTTTTCTATTTCTATGAAGAATGTCATTGGGATTTTAATAGGAATCACATTAAATCTGTATGGCGCTTTTGGTAGTATGGTCATTTTAAGAATGTTAATTCTGCCTATCTAAGAGCATGAGAAATTTTTCTAGCTTCCAGGATCTTCTTCAATTTCTTTCTTTAGTGTCCTGTAGTTTTCATTGTAGAGGTCTTACACCTCTTTTATTAGACTAATTCCCAAATATTTTACTTTTTTTCAGGCTACTGTGAATGAGGTAGTTTTCTTAATTTCTTTTGCAGTGGATTCATCACTTAT